ACCCTCCCCCAGGTCCACTCCACCATGTAGCCTTCTCTCTAGACTCCTGTCATGACAGAAATACCTAGTCACATATCTCTTTTAAACAGTATTCTCCCTCGTCTGTTTCAGTACAGTATACATTATTGATCCCATCTTACTCAGTCTCTCCCCAACCCCAAGGTCAGTCCTCTTTTAAAACAGTGGCACCATGCAATATTTGTCCTTTTGTGATTGGGATATTTCACCCAGCATAATGTTCTCCAGAGTCAACCATTTTGAATAATATTGCATGAGTTCCTTGTTTTTCAATGCAGCATAATATTCCATTGTGTGAATATACCGCAGCTTCTCTATCCATTCGTTTGTTGATGGGCACTTAGGTTGTTTCTAACTCCTTGCTATTGTGAACAAAGCTGCAATAAACATGGGTGTGCATCAAAATATATTTTTTTATGAACACTTAAAATAGTTTTAATTGACTATGGTGTTTTCTTTGGAAATGTAGCTGTTGACTAAAGATTGTTTTTGCAATGGTATTAATTCAATATGTCAATATTTAAGTGAAATAAGGGTAACTAAGGTACTCTTGATTTCTGCTTCACTTGCCCTGATTTTTTTCTTGTGTTTGCTTTTAGAAAGTTCCTTATTTAACTCCTTCTCCTGAAGCAGGTTTTGCTGAACTGCTGAGCCTTGGCAGTGGGCGCCTTTGAGGCTTAGAAGTGCCTCAGGATCCTGTCGGCCAGCTGCCATGCTATCTTCTCTTGAAGCACAGTCAGCAGAGAAGATCCTGGGGTGCTTCTGAACCCCGAAGGCACCTGCTACCACCGCTCAGTGAAAATTGCTTCAGTGACAGAAGCAGGTAAATAAGTTGAGAAAGCAGTACTAGAGAAGAGCTAAAAAAAACACCACACCCAAATACCACCCAAGGAAAGACTATGAATTGTGTCAGTTAATAGCATAAAGACTAAACTCAAGTAGTTTGTTTTTACAAACTATTTGTACCAGTTTTTTGTTTTGTTTTTTTAAGGTACTAGAAATATGAAGCAATTTAATTTGCGTACAGTAGGAACATACATATTATAAATGGAAACATAATTCTGAAGAAAAAAAGTCACAAATCTTATCAGTTCTCAACTTACTGAGATCCATCCTTTCTTAATTAACTAGACAAGAGAAGAATTTTTCAGAAATGAGAAGGCTCTTTTACTGGAAGATGTACACATTAGTTTTCCTTTGGCATGATCATGCTTTTAATTTTAACTGCTGAATAGCAATATTTTAAAGTACTAAATAAAAGTTCCATCATCGATTATGGAAAGAATTACTATGCAGAGTAATGTATGGGTATTAAACGGGAGTTCTCTGGAGTATTCGTGCTTTCTCAGCTGAGTATGTCAGTGGTTCTCTCCTTGTTTTTCAGGTTTCCAAGCAACAATCAGTGCGCCGCACATGGTGAGTTAACTGTGTTCATTTGGTTCCAAATGGATCACATTTTTATCCAGGATTCCCCTCACCCCCCCATCCTTTCAGTTAATAAAAAAGTTTACATTCAGTAAAAATGTTTAAAGATTGTTTTAAACTTTAGTTTAGATCAGTTTTATCATCTATGAATTATAAATTAGTAATGGTCCTATTCCTAATGTCCCATTTCGAAACAGCTCTTTAGTAGGGATTATCATATTAAAGTTTGTACTTTGACTAGTGATAAGAATTAATTGCCAGGAGGAAAAAGAATTGCGGGAGAGAGTATTTTAAATAGTTCGATGTACATATTATGGAAATCTCAAGTGAGATTTTGTCACATTTTATTTGGAAGATTCATCAGGGAGAGGTCAGGGATAGCAGTTAGCTGCCTAACATTGAGAAAGACCTATTTTAAGTGATCTAGCACTGTAATCTGCTGGGAATTTTCCCGAGTTTTAAATGTCAGTGATTTGAATGGGTTACTCTGTTGGGTTTTGGTGTTTGAAAACGCTTATTCTTTTGCTTTTCTCCAAGTGTTTGGAAACGGAGAAGCTCTTATCTATACTTAATTAATTTTATATAAATAGTTACAGTGAACTGATAAGTATAGTAGAAGGAAAAAGTAAAATTATTCATGAAAACGGAGTAGAAATGGTGTCTTTAAATGAGGAAAGCTACTAAAAGAGAAAGTGTTATTCATTCTTCCATTGATTGGTACTTAACATTATTTCTATCTTTTTTCCACTGTAAAATTGTTGCACAGAACATTAATGTGCATAACTTTATTCCTGCCACTGCTTTTATACTGCTAGGATTATATACCTAGGAGTGGGATTGCTAGACTCTAAATTATTTTTATTTCCAGCATTTTGAGGACATGTCATATCATAGTGGTTGTACCATCTTATAGTCCCGCCAACAGTGCATAAGAATTCCAGTCTCCCTTGGGCTGATGATTATGAGCATTTTTTTCATGTATTTGTTGGTCATCACATTATCTTATTTGGCGAAATGTTGCTCATTTTGCCCATTTTTCTATTGGGTTGTCCAACCCTTGTTGGATAGAGCATTGCCAAAGATTTCCTTGATAACTAATGATGGTATGTTTTCATGTGCTTATTGGCTATTTATGTCCATTTGAAGAACTGTCTGGTAATACCTTTGCTTTTATATAACTGAAAGGTTTTTCCCCTTAATTGTTGAAAAGACTGCATTCTTATTCACTTGTGTTTTCTGAGTAACCTATGGGTGTTTGAAAGGAAAACACCGTGTATGTATAAGTGTATAAAGTCTCCCAGAGTTCATACATCTAGATGTATGCCGATACGCAGTAAGCATATTATGTTCTTTGATGTTTGTTGGAGGAGGATGTAGGTAAGATAAGAGTTATTTATTATATAAATAAGCAGTTGTAATCTTGTGTCAGTTATTGCATAGATTTTAGAAGTGTTTTGAAAAACATAATGAGAAAGCATCAAAGGGAAATAACAACTTCATTTAATGAGCCTTAAAAATTATAGACTTTGAAGTAACTCCAACTTTAGAATATTTTCAAAGCTTTAATTACAGGAAGTGTGTTGTAGGATTGAGGATGAGATGAAAATCAACCTTTTAAAAGCACATACGAAAATAAAAAGTAAAATTCCATCCATATGTACTCAGGAAAGCATTCCGAGCAGCCACATTTTGGATTCTCAGTACCTTTTCTTGATAAAAGGATTAGAGTTCCTTGGATTAGACTTCCTTGGAGAAATGACCGATGATACTCAGAAAGTGGGAAAGTGCTCCAAGACTAATATCATGTGAAAAGGACAGAGGAGGAGATTATGGGACAGAAGGTAAAATTTGAGACACTGGCGAGCTCTGGTGGCCTAGTGGCAAGAAGCTGCACTGGAATCTCAGAGGTACACAGTTCGAATCCACCAGATGCTCTGCTGGAGAAGGAGGAACAGTCTCCTCCTGTATCAGTCAGATCTGATTTGATGGTACACACACCAAAAAAGTAATGAAATGAAATAAACAGTAAAAAAAAGGAATATTGAGACACTTTGAGAATTAAAACAACAACAAAAATAAACCACAAATAGAAAAGAGGAGATAATAAAAAAAAAAAAAGATGATAATCCAGCACTTGTCTGTCAGGTTTCTGTACTGTGGCAGTTTCTGTGTTGCTGTGATGGTGGAAGCAGTACCACTGGCGTTTCACATTCCAGCAGAGCTTTCAGACTAAGACAGGCCAGGAAGAAGAACTGGCTATATGCACGTTTTACAAAACTTGGCCAGTGGAAACTTATACTCCAGACAAGTTATCAGAAGGGGTTAGATCTGAAGAAGGACACTGTGTGTTTGGTAAACTAGAGGTTTTCCAGTTCTCAATGTGGTGAGTTGACACAGTGGCTGCAGTAATGGATGCAGACATGGCAGTGACTATGAGGCTGGCACAGGACTGAGAAGTCCTGCTTTCTTCTGTGTGTGGAGTTGCTTGGAGTTGGAACCAATCTGAAGACACCTAATAATAACAGCACAGTGTATTGAAAACAAAACATTCATGAGTCCATTGTAGACAAAAAAAAGAACTAGATTGAGACAGGAGGAGGAAAAAAGATATTATTTATAAAAAAACTCCAAAGAAATCAGAATAATGCTGTGGAAGGAAGAAAATAATTTTAATATTAACCATTTTGTAGCCATTAGTTTAGGACAGCTCTGGTCCCTAGCGGTAAGCTCTGGTGGCTTGTGGTAAGGCGTTGCACTGGCAAATCAAAGGCAGGTAGTTTGAATCTGCTGTCTGCTGAGCAGTAGAAAGATGGGAAGCCTCCTTTGGTGCGATTGACAGCCTCTGAAAACCCTTTGGAGAATCAGCTATGAGTCGATTTTAACCAATAGCACATAACAACCACTGATGACATAATAGGTAAGGAATTGTGTTGCCAACTCAAAGGTAGGCAGTTCAAATCCACCAGTGGCTCCATGAAAGAGAGACAGTCTCCTCCCATGTGATTTACAGTCTCTGAAAACCTGCTGGTCAGCTGTGAGTTGTTTCCAACTGATGGCATGAAAGAATGACAACAGTTACTAATTAACATTTGAATCAGGCAAGAACCATCAGTTAATCTAAAACCATTAAGAAAATTGCTGGGAAACAAAAAATTCACTTAAACTCTCTGATTGTGACTTCCCCTGTTTTGTTGCTTGTTGTTAAATACTGTTGAGTCTACTCTAAATCCCAGTGACCCTGTGTACAAGAGGGTGAACACTGCTCCGTCCTGGTCATCACTGCAATTTCTTTTGTGCTCAATTGTTGTAGCTACTGTCAATTTTATCTCATTGAGTATCTTTTCTTTTTCACTGACCCACCACTTGATCAAATAAGATACCTTTCTCTAGGGCCTTCTTGTTGTTAGGTGCTGTCAAGTTGAGTACAACTCATAGGGACCCTATGAAAAAAAGATCTGAACCCTGCTCTATCCTGCGCCATCCTCACACTTCCTGACAGACAAGAGCCCATTGCGGCAGTCACTGTGCCAGTCCACCTGGTTGAAGGTCATCTTCTCCTTTGCCAACCCTCCACCCTTCCCAGCATCATGTCCTTCTCCAAGGAATAGCCCCTCTTAGCAATATGCCTGAAGTATGAGGCAAAGTCTCATCATTCTTGCCAACAAAGAGCACTCTGGCTGCACCCTCTCCAAGATGTAGCAATTTGTTCTCTTTGCCGTCCGTGGGATGTTCAGTGCACTTCTCCAACACCCCAGCTTGAAGGCAGCAATTCTCGAGGGTCTTACACTTCCTGATAACAGGCACAAAGCATGTAAGGAAAGTCTCAGCACCCTTATTTGTAAGGGAGCATTGTGACTGTACTTCTCCATGAGGTTTGTCCTTCTCTTGGCAGTCTGTAAATTCAATATTATTTGCCAAAACCACAAACGAGGACATAATTTCATTTATTCAGTAGTCTTTCTTATTCATCATGTAACTTTCATGTACTTGTGAAACAGTTGAAATCGAAATACCAAGGCTTGGGGATTAGGTGCCTCAGTCCTCAGAATGGCATCCTTGCTCTTCAGCACTTTAAATAGACCTTTGACAGCAGATTGGCCCCATTTGCACACCATTTGATTTTTTTAAAAAAACTAGTTTTCATACAGTAATTCCTATGCATTGTGTTTCATTCAATCCTCTGCTGCTTGACATGTGTACAGTTTCATAAGAGCACAGGTAAGTGTTCTGGAATTCATGCTCTTTGCAATGGTTCTGACTCATAAGCCACCTTCCTATAATACACTGCTCAGTCCTGTTCCATCTTCACAATATTGATGTCGTCTTTTGTTGTGGCTCTTATCAGTGCATCTCATCAGGGTTGCCCTTGCTTTCACTGACCCTCTACTTGGTCAGACACGATGTCCTTATCTAGCAGTGAATCTTTCCTGACTAGATGTCCCAAACAAGGAGGCTGAAATTCTTGCTTATAAAAAACATTCTGGTGTTATCTCTTCTGTGTAATTCATTACTTACAAAGAGAAAACAAACAGGTTCATCCTAGAGCGAGTGAAACTGGTTTTCTCCTTGGAGGCAAGGATTCTGAGGCTTCATCTGACATACTTTCGGCATGTTGCAGAGAGGGACATCATGCTTGGGAATGCACAATGAAGAAAGAGAGGAAGACTATCCATGAGATGGATTGATACAGTGGGGGTAATGTAGGGGTGTCAGAGACAATAAGGTTAGCACAGGATAGAGCAGGTTTCAGGGCTGTTATACATAGGGTTGCTATGAGTTGCAAGTGACTTGACAGCACATAACAACAACAAAGAAAAATGTGTTTAAAATGGAGTGATCTAGTGTTCGTCACATTCTGAGTGATTACATGAGGCGTGTCTGGTACTGAGATGGGGCTCCATTGTGCTTACTGCTCTGATGCACAGTCTGACCCACTGATGCTCTTGCTGGAAGTCTTTGATGTGTTTCTATTCATGAGGAAATGGACAAAT